TCAACCGGGAAGTAATCCCGTTGAAGGACAACCTGGCGACACAAGAGATCAAGCTTCAGGCGGCCAATTCTGATTTGATGCGAGCCCAAGCGTTGCTCGATGAAAAGGAGGCCGTACTCGCCGAGGTTCGAGCTCAGTACGAAACGGCCATGCGACGAAAGCAGGATTTGGTTGATGATGCTGATGCCTGTCGACGGCGAATGGCGACTGCGACGACATTGATTGAGGGTCTTTCGGGCGAAAAGATTCGCTGGACTGAAGAGACACGAACTCTTCGCGATCAAGTCAATCGGCTGGTTGGTGATGTACTCTTGGCAACCGCTTTCCTCTCCTATTGCGGACCCTTTAATCAGGACTTCCGGCATCGTTTGATCACCTCGTGGTTCCGCGAATTAGCCACCCGGCACGTTGCACACACCGTCAATCTGGACCTCATTAACATGCTGACAAACGGACCGATGGTAACCGTGACAGCACTCTCATTTCTATAATTTACCCCATAAATGATAATGAGGACCCGTATTCAACGTTGGATCAGATGATATTTTAATATATTTATTATCAAAATAGAAGGGCTATGATACAAAAATGTCAATTTAGATTCATCTTTTATGCTATTGGAAATGAGTAGGCTTTCAACATTACCAATAAATCAGATATATGAATTGTGTTCACTGTATTTCGTTCAAGGTGATGAAGGACTGGCAGTTGATTTTTCCCACAATGAATTTGTAGAGCTGATGATTTCCCAAAAGATGTTTTCATTCCGGCTAGAGTTGACTGCAGTTTCGACATCGCATAGATCTTATCAACATGCCATGCGGGAGTCGAACCATGATAATGCAGCTTGTAAACTCGACACAACTCATATTCCGTAAAAACCTACTCATTTACGATAAAATTAATATCCTCGATTGCTATAGCAAATATAAATTTGCTTCATCGACAATCCCAAAGGCACTCGTTGCAATGTGGCGTAGTGGTTGCCATGTCTAAATTACACGCTGCATCTCCATGGTTCGAAACTGCAGTTCACTCTAGCTGGGCTGAGAACACCTTTTGGGAAACATCAGCTCTACAAATATTAATGTGGGAAAAATCAACTACCGGTCCTTCGTCACCTTAAATCAAATAGAGGAAACGCTTCTCATACAACTTTTGTTTCGCAATTTGGTCAGACTGTGGAATTGGTACATCGCCAGAAATTTCGTCTTCATCGTAGTCGGCATCTTATAAGTCTTAGCGCTAAGCCACATTTCGTCAAAGAGACAAATTGAGTCCATCCCTTAACACATTTTCTCCTAAACGGGATTGACGTCAATTGCCTCTTTGATTTGTTGTAGTTTGGTGTTAAAACTGGCGGGACTGACTGGCAATGCAGATTACGATACCAGAATGTGCCAAGTCCACGGCGCGACGCTAAGAAACAGCATGACTACTTTGACGGAAATACGGAAAAGGTGTCTCCAATGAGGTCTGCCTGACTGCTTGACAAGATTGCGAAAATGAGTCCAAACTACATTCAATCAATGTTAGTTGTGAGGCTTGCTTTCTCGTATCATCCTCAATATAACTCATATGACCTTGTCTCGCAATTTTTTCGTGCTGTCAGGAGGATCAAGCTGGACGTACCCTATCCAAAGTCATCCACAGTTTGAGTAATGATACTTTTCAGTGTCGAACCGTGGACTTGGTACATTCCCAGCCGTTTCGCTGGCATAGTCAGTCAGCCTTGTCATTCTTAGCACGACACTACAATTCGTCAAAGAGACAAGTGAAGTTGATCCTTCGACCAATTTTCTGATAAACAGTTGTGGTATCGCTCCCGGCGGATCAACACTCCCGGCACAGTTTGAGGGATGTGGAAACCAGCGGGAAGTGTGAATAGTTTTTTAATAGGTTTACATAAACAAGTATGAAATTGTGATATTGAATGGGTGATACGAGGATATAGGATAGGTGAATAACCAAGGACAGAAGGAGAGATACCCCAACTGTTAGGACACAATTGGTCAAAGGATCGACCTCACTTGTCTCTTTGACGAGATGTAGTGTCGTGCTAACAATGGCAAGATTCACTGGAGATGTTGGCGAAATGTCTAGGAATGTACCAAGTCCACGGCCCGGCTCTGGAAATTACTATGGACTCCGGACAAGGTTCGTTCCAGCCAATATGATCAAGTTGCGAAAACACGATCAAACAGCTTCTATACAACAAAAGGATACCGCGACCATACACATAGCCACATCATTTTGTTCATCATATATTCGATTAATTTAATATATTTGTTTAATTAAAATATATAAGTAATAGAGGAAAATGTTATGTATTTTTATAAATTCCATGAAATAGATTAATTAAAGACAAGGTTTAATATCAAAAAGTACTTTCTAATTAAGAAAAATTTATTTATTTAAGTTGAGTTTTAAGGAGTAACTATATTTGTCGATCGCACTTAGCTTAGTTTTGCATTTTGCTCTTTAGCTGAAATATTTGCTGAAAAAAGCCCCTCTTCTTATAATTTAGCAAGAAAATCATTTTTATACGAGTGTGAGCAAGAAACACTAATTAAGTTTAGAAATGGCTCTAGTTTACTATTTGGTGACAACGCTGATTACAATGCTGGAAGGTGCCCATTTCACGGGGCGAAGGTGGGAATTGTCATGACTACTCTGACAAGAGACTACGGACAAGGTACGTCCAACTGGGTGTGTCTAACTGCACGACAAGGTTTCGAAAAACAAGTCAAACCATCTCCATCAATGTTACTTATGAAGCTTACTTTATCCTATTGTCCATAATAGAACTCGTTTGACCTCGTTTCGCAACTTGATTATACTTTCAGAAGGACCAAGCTGGATGTACCTTGTCCTAGGTCTTCCAACATTTTGGTTATGACAATTTCCAGTGTTGATACATTCTCAGACGTTCCACCAGCATTGTAGTCAGAATATTTGGTGAGTCCTGTCAGTATTTGCTGCAAGCTATAATTTCTAACAAGTTAGAAGGCAACAGGTTATGAGTTGTGATTGCAAGAGATTGAGAATAACA